AAATATATATATATTTGGGGTCAGGAACCCTGGGTAACGAAGAGGAAGAAAAAGGGAAAAAAATGTAAGCAGAAACACAAAACCATAGCTACCTTTTCTTGCTGCAGCCTCTTTTCTCAGTTTCCTCAGCTTCTCCAAGGCTCGAAGAATATCCACCATTCTTTTAGTGTCTGCTTGTTTTTTCCTTACTTCAGCTAAGACACCATCGGCAGCAGCTTTGAGTTCTTGTTCCTGGAGGAGAAACAGAGCCCACAAGCCCTTGCATTAGTAACAACCCTACAGCGGAGCTCACAGCAGTGAGATTGCAGAGGAGCTCACAGGCCCAAGGCTGAGGCTCTAGTGAATCCATATCCATTTCCTAGGCCCAGCGCACACTCCTCTACAAGAGCACCAAGGACTTAGCCCGTGCACTGACTACACCCTTCCAAAAGGAAACACTGTCCTCTCTGCAGCGTCTATGCAGGCCGTGGGCTTCTGCTTCTCTCAGGGGCTCTCACAGTGTGGTCCAGGGAGCATCCACATCCATCCTACCTTGTTAAGGTAGGGCTGGGGGAAGCTGAAGAATGGGACTCTGCAGCAGTCTCCGCGTGAAAGGCTACACAATCCGAGTTGCTCAGCTCTCAAGTCCCCCAGAACCTCTTGCACGTGGCTGGCTCCCAAACATTTGAGAGCCATGATCCTACTCTTGAGCTGGCTCACCGTATGGTAATAACTCCCATTCCTCACGGGATTCTATCTCCGCTATCTCACCCTCTGTTCCAGGGTCTGTCTGCCTATACATCTACCATTAGCACCAACAGCCCCTGTTCAGCCTGGGTTAGGGCTGTGCCTGTTGCTGTCACTTTCCCTCAACACTTCTTTTAAAGCTGCACTCACATGTGTATCATCTGGGAAACCTTCCGGGAGGGGACAAGCCTCCAGAGGCCCCAGGGGCTGGACGCTCTGTTCTATCAGGCATTGGGCCTGGCACCTAATAGGTCATTAAATGTCTGCTGTACTGACTCAGATTCCCTCAGGTCAGAGTTCTAAGCTAGGCATTGTCCTTTCAGGCAATGATATTCCTGAGGACGCACTGAGAAAGCCTGCCACTAAGGGTGGCAGCAGAGGTGAGGAGATAGCAAACGGTGGAGAAAGGAAGCCCAGCACCACTCAAGTCATGTGAATGCTTTGCACAAATATTTCACCCATTTCAGCTGCCACCTTGACCCTATCTGGAGATAGACAGCGTCTGGAATCAGGCAACTTGGGCTTAAACATGAAGTCAAACTGCCACAAACTGGTTATGTGATTGTTGATAAATTCATCTATAGGATTCTATCTGTAAAGCTAAGTAATCCTGCTTATTTCTCAGGGTTCTTATAAAATGAATTTGTGTATGCAGTGACCTTAGGGCATAGCTTAGGGAGCGTAATACAGTGTTCAAAAAGACCACTGGAGAATCTGGAAATATATGGGGTCAAACCTGTAGACACACGCTGGGGAAATCACGATTAGTATAGCCATGAGCTAGCCAGGGTGTACGTTCCTGGAGGTAGGCAACCAAGTTCTCTTTATTTTGTGTTCTTAAAATCATCTAGGGCTGGCGCGCCCCTGCGCACACCTGTAATCTCAGCTCTTCTGGAAGCGAAGGCAGGATGAAAGTGCGAGATCAGCCGGGACAACTGGGCAAGACGCTGCCTCAAAATAAAAATTACTGGCGACGTAGCACAGTAAAGGGCCCTGGGTCAATTTCCAGGACCAGGGAAAATTATCATCTACCGCAGTGCAAGACACAATGGCAAGTACTAATGAGTGCATACAACTTCGCAGCAGCATACAGGTGACCTGTCCTCCCAGCGGCACAACTGTACAATCTTGTAACTTGTGTTTGCAGGGCCGGGATAGTGCATGTGGAGCTTATGTCTTGTGCGCTATATACATCATTATATACAAGTGTTCGATATGGAAAGCCAACTATTTCCGATTTTACGAAAGCGCAAAAAGGCTAACCATGGGTTCCAAACCACCACTATCCCCCACGCGCGGCGCCGCCACCGCTCTCACCCGCTTCTTCTCCTCCACCTCCTGCACGCACTTCACCCGCCAGCGGTCGATCTCCTGCTCGCGCTCTGCGGCCCGCGCGGCCTCCGCCTCTCGCTCGGCTGCGCGTTCCCGCGCCCTCTCGCGCAGCCGTAGCCGGCGACGCCGCACCCTCTCCAGCCTCCGGCGAACCTCGCCGACATAGGCGGCCTGGGACAGAGGCTGCAGCCGCTCGGCCAGTTCAGCGCGCAGCGGCGTGGCCCGGGCGTGCAGTAGCGCCCAGGCCGCGCCGTCCGCCTCGGCCTCGCGCAGGGCCTGACCCAGGCCGCGGAGCCGCCGAACGAGGCGCAGAGCCCCGCGCAGCCGGGCGCGC